TATATATATGCACGCGATAATTTACGCACAAAAAAATAAAACTGTTCTGTGCGTCTGTGCGTGAGAGTCTTGCAAAAAGCCCCGAGACCCCGAGTTAGCCCGCGTGAATAATTTTTTTTTAAAAACCGCCGTTATATATATACACGCACACACAGACACCGCAGTGATTTAAAACGTTGCGTGCACACACGCGGAATGTGTAAGAATAATCGCAATCGCGTCTTTATTGAATAAAAAAAATAATAATATTCTTACCAATCGCATCCCTAATGCTACAGATCCAAGATGGCGTCCCGAGCCGCATCACCTTTTGTTGCGCGGAGGGATACACCGCCGCCCCCCCCTCACCTCCCCTTCACCCCGACCCCCATCCACTGCACCCTCCGCCCCGCAAAAAAAGGTCGCGTTCCGGTCTCGCGGTAACGCGAAACTCGACGCGACCGCCGCTCCGGGCGACGTCGACGCGACTCCGATACCTCCCGGAGTCGCCGTCGCCAGCGACAGCGCGGAGCTGGCGCTTCCTGTACGGGAAGAAGGGTTTGTGTGGGTCGGGACTACTTTCCGGAGGCGGAAGAATAGTGAATAGCGGCGGGAGAAGACGGGGGAGGGGGGGGGTGAGAAGTAGTGATGCGGTTTTGGGACTCGGACCGTGTCTGGAACCCGGACTGGATTCTGACCTGATCCGGACCTGGATTTTGCGGGACTAAGTTCAGGGACTGGAGCATTAACTGGATCATGACCTGGTCCGGACCTGGATACGTGGACCGAGTTCGGGATTGCAACCTGGAATGGATTCAGAAGTGATCCGGACCTGGATTTGCGGGACTAAGTCCGGGACTGGAACATGACCTGGATCATGATATAGTCCGGACGTGGATGTGGGCCCGAGTTCGGAATTGAAACCTGGACTGGATTCAGACGTGATCTGGACCTGCGTTTGTGGGATCTGGACCAGGATTGGAACCCGCACTGGATCTGTGAGACTAAGAACTGCACTCTTTCAGTATACGTACCTGTTTCAAACCAGAATCACGAGCTAAACGCGGATCTGGATCCCATTCGGATCTCGATATGTGGACCCAGGCCGTAATTGCTTACCGTGGCCAGATGATGCTTTGTGGGACCTCGGATAAATTTGATCCAAGATTTTTGGAACGTGGTTTGTGATTGATTTCTTCCCGAACCAAGAACTGGAGCTGACGGGACGTGTGTCACCAAGACCAGATCTGGTATAAACATGTATCGCCGGTGCGTTGCACCTGTTTTAACCATACCAACGGTGCAATTTTCTTAAAGATTCAGATTCTGGTATGGGTACACTGTAAGTTAGCCGATTGGGGCAGAGCGCGCGTGGTGGGGTAAAGTTGTGGGGTACTTCAATCGCTTCCAAGACAGCCTGACCAGCGTGGGCACCGCCCATACTGGACATACGAAAACAAAAAGAGCTTCATGGCTCATCGGATTCCTTCTGCAGTCGAAATAAATGATGTCTGATCCGGGAAGTGTATAGGGTCAAATGCCCTCTAGAGGGAGCGCCTCCGCGTTGGAGGCCCTCTCGCGGCCAGCAGTGGCGTGAGTGAGCGAACAACGGCATCGGAAAAGAAAGCGCAGTGCGGAGGCAACAGTTGTGGATATTTCTATTTTACAAGAGGGGAAAGTGCTGGGGTTGGACTTGAGGGGACTCAACAACACAGGTGGCAGGGACGTGCGATCAGGGGAGGCAGGTGAAGCAGAGCCTCACCTGTCATACTCCAATGAAAATAGCTGTTACTAAAAAAAAGAATACATTTCGATTTAAAGCTTTCGTGACTTGCAGGGATTCATATTCTTGGTTCTTTGTTTAATTTGTATTATTTTAATATTTCCCTTCTACGTGACTTTCCCGAAAGAACCAAGAATAAAAAAAGAATAATCAAATAAAATAAATATTAAGATTTTTCCACTCATCTGTGTTATAAATGTCATTTCTGTACGATTCCAATCATTTTTATAGTCAAAATCGCCAAATTTGTGGAGCTCCGCTGCAAATACAGGAAGAGACGAGAGGTGAGGCAGCGACGAGCTCAGCCTCCCCTCTGATTGCGCAACCCCTCAGTAACTGGATGGAGCGTGGGCAATAAGCGCGTGCCTGTTACTATCTCAGTGTGTCACCAATGTAATGTTTGTAGACCCCTTCATTTCATGTCCTCGCCTTCCATACTCCAAGTAACTTATTTCACGTATGCGTATAAAGATATTTAGGCTCGCTGGTCTCGTCATGAAACTGCAATGAAAAAGCACCAGGGGAGGCAGCTATCAGATCTGCCTCACTGAGGAGCACGTGTCTAACACGTGGGGACACGCCCCTCTCAGTGATGCCACGCCCCCTCCTTGAGGCCACGCCCCCCCCCTCAGTGTGTGAATCTGGCTCTGACACTAGCCAGTGCCTCCCCAGCCATTGACCTCACCGCACGTCACTGACGGGTGGGGCTGAGACGAGAGGGGAAAGGAGGTTCCTGCATTGTGATGTTTGGAATTGTTCTCGTGTTTTATTTGACCAGGTAAAGCCCCACCGAGCTGTATAGCTCTTTTCCTGAAGCGATCTGGCCACAAATGATAGCTCAACGAAGTGGTTTATTATCACGTGGACATTTATTGCAGCCAAGCACTCTTAACGTACGTTGGTTCTAATTTTGGAGGGAAAAAAACTAGAGGCGTCGGGGTCAGGATTGAACCCAGGCGCTCCTGCATACCAGGCGAGGTAGTTAAGTAGTGACACGCGAGAATCCCATCTTAATAGACAGCATCACCATTCGTGCTGGGATGTTTTTTTTCAAATTGAACATTTATTTATTTAGAAAAGAACATAATACCAGAGCAAACAGAGGGTTTGTTAAATACAATAAAAAATATACACGTACACCGGCAGAATTATTACCCTAGAGTCTTTCAAATCGACACGCGCTGAGAGCACAAGAGTTGGACGACACGCGCACGTAGGCACACGTACGATACACGTTAGCATCATCAGGGCTTCATTTCTGCCGGAGCTGTCCGGGCCTGAGCATCAGAAAATATCCCACCCCCTTCTCACTTTTGGAAAGGCAGGGGGGGGGGTTCCGGATCCTGGGGTTGAGGAGGCGTCCTTGAAATTTAGAAATATTCCATGAGAAGTAAAGCCCCCTGCTCGTCATCGTTAAACCGTCGGATTTATGTTCAATATTAACGTACGAAAAATTACCACCGTATAATGATGATCATGATGATAATACAGTACAAATCACTCATTTCACGGCCATCGGTGGCCACTCCACCTCCGCCTTCCCCAGCCCCCGAAGTGAATCTTGATGGCAGAACACGGGCCGTCAAAACACAACGTATTTTTTTTGTTTGGCAGGGATAAGTGGCAAAATCCGCCCCCCCCCCCCCCTCCCAAAAAAGTGTGTTTTTTCCAGCATTTATCAAGCGAGGAATTATGTGACGCTCATCATCACCGTCATTGTCTGCTCACAACTCTCGGGCGGCGCGTGGTGGAAATTCCATGTTCCTACGACGGGGGCGAAATGAGCCTCCGAGATGCCCCCCCTCCACTCCCCCCCCCCACCACTGGGATTTTTTAACCCGATATTGGGAGAAAGAGAAAAGTGGTGTCAAACCTCGGTATATTTCCATAAAATATTGGATTTTGCTGGCTCTCCACCGACACTTTCATTAGGCCTCCGGATCTCTGAGAAGCACATGTCAAAAAATAGCGAGTGGACCCATTAAGAAATGCGCCGTTCTCCGTGCCACTTTTGTGAACTCATGAAAAGTTTATTTCATAATTTTTCCAACCTGCTGGGTAACCACTGTGCTGTGGTTTGGAAGGGCACTTTACTGTCCTGTGTTGAGATGGATGTAATGCAAAATTGAGCCTTGATTTAAGTTTTAAAACGTTAGTTGAATACTTAACATCTGGAGCCATTGTCATCCTCCACCTCTCTTCCCTTCTTATTTGTCTATTTTTTTCATCTCGCATCCCTCTGTGGATTCCCAAGTTTCCATTTATCATTCATCCCTCTATGTTCATTCTTATTTCCCAATTACCAAAATCCTCCATCTCCTATCTCTCTACCCCCATCCCTCTATCTCCCATCCCTCTATCCCCCATCCCTCTATCCCCCATCCCTCTATCCCCCATCCCTCTATCCTCCATCCCTCTATCCCCCATCCCTCTATCCCCCATCCCTCTATCCCCCATCCCTCCATCCCTCTATCCCCCATCCCTCTATCCCCCATCCCTCTATCCCCCATCCCTCTATCCCCCATCCCTCTATCCCCCATCCCTCTATCCCCCATCCCTCTACCCCCCATCCCTCCATCCCCCATCCCTCCATCCCCCATCCCTCTATCCCCCATCCCTCTATCCCCCATCCCTCTATCCCCCATCCCTCTATCCCCCATCCCTCCATCCCCCATCCCTCCATCCCCCATCCCTCTATCCCCCATCCCTCTATCCCCCATCCCTCCATCCCCCATCCCTCTATCCCCCATCCCTCCATCCCCCATCCCTCCATCCCCCATTCCTCTATCCCCCATCCCTCCATCCCCCATTCCTCCATCCCCCATCCCTCCATCCCCCATTCCTCTATCCCCCATCCCTCTATCCCCCATCCCTCTATCCCCCATCCCTCCATCCCCCATCCCTCTATCCCCCATCCCTCCATCCCCCATCCCTCCATCCCCCATTCCTCTATCCCCCATCCCTCTATCCCCCATTCCTCCATCCCCCATCCCTCCATCCCCCATCCCTCTATCCCCCATCCCTCTATCCCCCATCCCTCCATCCCCCATCCCTCTATCCCCCATCCCTCCATCCCCCATCCCTCCATCCCCCATCCCTCTATCCCCCATCCCTCTATCCCCCATCCCTCTATCCTCCATCCCCTCTACCTCCCATCTCTCCATCTCCCATCACCACCACCAACCAACCACCATCATCCTCACCACTGTAACTATCCATCGCCAGCCTCCCCCCCCACCCCCCCACCGGGGGCTAGCCCCCACTGTTGAGCATGGCGAGGAGCTTGTTGGGCTCCACGCCGAGCTGCTGCGCCATGCGCTGCACGTCGAAGCCCAGGTGCATGAGGAACTGCACGGCGCTCATCTCCTTGCCCGTGTAGTGGTCGCGCATCGTCGGGCACGACGGGTTGCAGTGCGGCCAGGGGCAGTTGTCCACCAGGTGCGAGGGGCAACCCCGGGGGGGCGCGCGGGCGCCGCCCCCGCCGCCGCCGCCGCCGCCGCCGCCGCCAACCCGCGACGCGTCCTGCAGGGCGCGCTCCCAGCATTGCAGGGCACGCGCCAGCGAAGCGCCCTTCACCTGCACGTCCAGCCACGAGCTGCACGTGGTGGTGGTGGTGGTGGCGGGGGGGGATGTCGAGACATAGGGAGACGTGGCGGATGATGGAGGGGTGAGGAGGTGGGTGGGGTGGGGGAGATGATGGGGGGGGGGGGGTGATTAGGTTTGGGGGAGATGTGAGAGATGATGATGAGGTGGGGGAGGGGGAGATGTGGAGGATAATGATGAAGGGGGGTGGGGGAGTAAGGGGAGGTGATGGGGTGTGGGAGACATATGGGAGATGGTGATGGGGGGAGGGTGATGGGTTGTGGGGGAGATAATGATGAAGGGGGGGAGGGTAAGGGGAGATGATGGGGTGCGGGAGATTGTGATGGGGGAGGGTGATGGGTTGTGGGGGAGATGTGGGAGATAATGATGAAGGGGGGGGGTAAGGAGAGATGATGGGGTGTAGGCGAGATGTGGGAGATAATGATGAAGGGGGGGAGGGTTAAGGGGAGACGATGGGGTGTGGGGGATATGCGGGGAGAGATGCGAGTTGTGAGTGTTAGCTCATGGGTTGGTGTGTAGGATTGGAGATGCACAGAGACACAGAGATAGACACTCAGAGATACGGGAAAAGAGACACATACAGACATACAGAACATCATGAGGCCTCCTTTGCCAGTACCAAAATGTAATCATAGGTTTTTTTCCCCTTCTTTCTGGCAACAAAACTGAACCCTGTTTACGAGGAATCATGTTTACATTAACCACAATATCTGCGGTCATAATGCAAACAAAAAACACAACTCTATGCATTGTCCTTGAAATTGATTGGTCCACACCAGAGACAGCTTTCCTTATAGCCTAGTCTCGGACTAGGCCTCATGATGTTCTGTATCTACGACTCGGCACTAAGGAAAGCTGTCTCTGGTGTGGACCAATCAATTTCAAGGACAATGCATACATTATCAGTGTGTTTTTTGTTTGCATTCTGACCGCAGATATTGTGGTTAATGTAAACATGATTCCTCGTAAAAAAAAGGCTTCAGTTTTGTTGCCAGAAAAAAGGGGGAAAAAACCTATGATTATATTAGAGAAACACAAGATAAATGTGGAGATACAAAGGCACAGAGATGGGCCCAGAAAAAAACGCACGTATACAGGCATTGAGACGCAACAACAAAGGGAAACGAGAAGAGACGGAGGCAAAAATACAATCAGATCGAATTATTCGACTGCATATTTATAGAGCGCCTTCCCACAAGGCGCTCTATGACGGAGCTTGCAAAATGATGACACGGAACGGTGTGGATGGCAGGGGCGTGCTACAAGGATCGAGGAATGAGGGACAGCGATAGAGGGGTACTTGCGGATGACGAAAGGGTAAGGGGAGGGACGGGAAGAAGTGTAGAGGCGAGGTTGGGGGAAGAGGAAGGGAATTGGTGACGGAGAAGAGGCGAGGCTTTCATAGAATATTCGGAAGGAGGCTGAGGGGGACTGCTCCTTGTACAGGGGAAGTGTTGAGTCTATGGTGCAGTGTTGAGGCTATGGTGCAGTGTTGAGGCTATGGTGCAGTGTTGAGTCTATGGTGCAGTGTTGAGTATATGGTGCAGTGTTGAGTCTATGGTGCAGTGTTGAGTCTATGGGCAGTGTTGAGTCTATGGTGCAGTGTTGAGTATATAGACAGTGTTGAGTCTATGGGCAGTGTTGAGTCTATGGTGCAGTGTTGAGTCTATGGTGCAGTGTTGAGTCTGTGGTGCAGTGTTGAGTCTATGGGTAGTGTTGAGTCTATGGACAGTATTGAGTCTATGGACAGTATTGAGTTTATGGGCAGCGTTGAGTCTATGGTGCAGTGTTGAGTCTGTGGTGTAGTGTTGAGTCTATGGTGCAGTGTTGAGTCTGTGGTGTGGTGTTGAGTCTATGGTGCAGTGTTGAGTCTATGGACAGTATTGAGTCTATGGTGCAGTGTTGAGTCTATGGTGCAGTGTTGAGTCTGTGGTGTAGTGTTGAGTCTATGGTGCAGTGTTGAGTCTGTGGTGTAGTGTTGAGTCTATGGGTAGTGCTGCTCGAGTGTACAAGAGAAGTTGATTCCAATGGAGCAGTTGCAAGGAGGGAGAAGGCCCCTTAACGGGACTGGGCACAGGGAGAATGAGGGACAGAGAGAGGATTGGGAATGAAGAGGACGGGAGGAGGGGGGCATGGAATGAGATGAGGGAGGTGAGATGAGATTGGGGGGGGGGGGGGGGGGGTGTAACATATGCGGTTGATACACACAGACCAAGGCTGCTTACCTCTTGCTGATGAGGCTGTGTGAGAGACAGGACGGCGCAAACACGGCCCTGCACACGTGCACACACGCTTACACGCTTACACGTGTACACGCGTACAAACACAAAGATTCACACCCCGAATAGCCTTAACAGACTGTTGGGGCAAGTGCTGTTAGCGAGCACCTACGAAGGCCGGCACGGCAGGCGATGGGGTGAGTGGCCAGCACCACGGCAGGCCACCTTTGTCTCCTAAACAGCACTAATTTCAGGCTTAGTCGACCTAGAGGATGCCCAGGACCGGTTCAGATAATCATCACCGGTGTTGTCCGTGAGCGGGAATGGAACTCGGCTACACGCATGTGCACTGGTACTGTGACACGTACACACACAGCTACATGCATGTTGTTGTGGTTTTTGTGGTGGTGGTGGTTGTTGTGGCTGCGGTGCGTATGAGACGCCTCGGAGCACGTTGTGATTGTGGTTGTGGCGATTGCGGCCGTAGTGATGGTGGCGCATACAAGACGTCTCTCAGGGTGTTGTAGTTGTGGTGATTGTGGTGGCTGTGGTGGTTGTCATGGTAGCAGTAGTGGTTGCGGTTGTATCGCGTACGAGACGTCTCTCAGGGGTGCTGTGGTTGTGCTGGCTGTGGTGGTTGTGGTTGTGGTTGTGCTGGCTGTGGTGGTTGTGATTGTGCTGGCTGTGGTGGTTGTGGTTGTGTCGCGTACGAGACGTCTCTCAGGGTGTTGTGGTTGTGATTGTGCTGGCTGTGGTGGTTGTGGTTGTGATTGTGCTGGCTGTGGTGGTTGTGATTGTGCTGGCTGTGGTGGCTGTGGTTGTGCTGGCTGCGGTGGTTGTGGTTGTGTCGCGTACGAGACGTCTCGCAGGGTGTTGTGGTTGTGCTGGCTGTGGTGGCTGTGGTTGTGGTTGTGCTGGCTGTGGTGGTTGTGGTTGTGGTTGTGCTGGCTGTGGTGGTTGTGGTTGTGTCGCATACGAGACATCTCGCAGGGTGTTGTGGTTGTGGTTGTGCTGGCTGTGGTGGCTGTGGTTGTGATTGTGCTGGCTGTGGTGGTTGTGATTGTGCTGGCTGTGGTGGTTGTGGTTGTGCTGGCTGTGGTGGTTGTGGTTGTGTCGCGTACGAGACGTCTCGCAGGGTGTTGTGGTTGTGGTTGTGCTGGCTGTGGTGGCTGTGGTTGTGCTGGCTGTGGTGGCTGTGATTGTGCTGGCTGTGGTGGTTGTGGTTGTGCTGGCTGTGGTGGCTGTGGTTGTGCTGGCTGTGGTGGCTGTGGTTGTGCTGGCTGTGGTGGCTGTGGTTGTGCTGGCTGTGGTGGCTGTGGTTGTGCTGGCTGTGGTGGTTGTGGTTGTGGTTGTGCTGGCTGTGGTGGTTGTGGTTGTAATTGTGCTGGCTGTGGTGGTTGTGGTTGTGGTTGTGCTGGCTGTGGTGGTTGTGGCTGTGGTTGTGTCGCGTACGAGACGTCTCGCAGGGTGTTGTAGTTGTGGTGGTTGTGCTGGCTGTGGTTGTGATTGTGCTGGCTGTGGTGGCTGTGGTTGAGATTGTGCTGGCTGTGGTGGCTGTGGTTGAGATTGTGCTGGCTGTGGTGGCTGTGGTTGTGGTTGTGCTGGCTGTGGTGGTTGTGGCTGTGGTTGTGTCGCGTACGAGACGTCTCGCAGGGTGTTGTAGTTGTGGTGGTTGTGCTGGCTGTGGTTGTGATTGTGCTGGCTGTGGTGGCTGTGGTTGAGATTGTGCTGGCTGTGGTGGCTGTGGTGGTGGTTGTGCTGGCTGTGGTGGCTGTGGTTGTGTCGCGTACGAGACGTCTCGCAGAGTGTTGCGCAGCTCCCGGCCCAGGTTCTGCAGGTAGCTCCACTTGTCATCCTGCACCGGCTGGCCCGTCAGGTGCACGTTGTCCATCGACAGCTGCGCCTCGTCGAACAGCCACTGCACCACGAACACGGGCGCTGCCGCAGGGGTACAACCTCCTCGTCATCGTCGTCGTTGTCACCGTCATCATCATCGTCGTCATAATCATCATCATCGTCGTCATCATCACCATCATCATGATCATTATTGTCAATTTAAAATGTGTATCATCACCATCGTCATCGCCATCATCACCATCATCATCACAGTCATCGTCGTCGTCATCATGATCGTTATCATCGTCGTCATCATCTTCATGAAAACTCATTTTCAGCAGCATCATCAGCAGCATCGTCATCATCGTTGTCATCATCACCGTCATCAATCTGCCAAGGCAGAAGGGAGCCGATGATGTGATGATGATGACGATGAGAAAAAAAAACGAACTCGGCCCCTTGGTGTTCAAAGTCGTGGTGACTGGAGGGGTCTGAGCCCCCCCTTTCTGAATGTTCGGCTCCCCTCCCCCCTATAAGGTGCTGCTCGCGAACAGCACTTGCCCCGAAAGTCTGTTAAGGAGAATGCACGTCGACCTTCTTTCGGCTGCTCGCCTCGCTCTGTTATTTCCGACTGCGTTATGAGTGGTGCTGGCCACCCACCCACACCCACCCAGTCCCCCTCGCGTGCCATGCCGACACTTCGTAGGCGCTGCTGCTGCTGCAGCTGCTGCTTACTCGCCAACAGCACTTGTTCCCGAAACAGTCTGTCAGGGCTACACGGGTGAATCTTTGTCCTTGCCGAGTCCGGGACTCACTCTTGAGCGTGGGGTAAACCTTGTAGCCAAAGAAGCACTGCCACTCGTCCCCGCGGCGGAAGAGTTGCCGGCAACGATCCGGGACGATGCCACTCCAGTACCTGGGGGAAGAGGGGGGGTAGGGGAGGGGAGGGAGAGAGGGACAGACATCGACACGTGTCTTCTTCTTTCCCACGGCTGATGTAGATGCAGAGCATTTGCATAGTGCGCGCACAAGGAAGTGGCACAGTGTCTTCGAAGGCTGACACGTTCACAGAGTGCACCCAAACGCTGACACATTTGGTGCTCCACCGTGGAGATGGAGTGATAACATCAGTTCACGGGCAGGCGGCACGCCGATCGCGACATCGCGGCAGCACGAGGTGGCCCTTCGTCCGTCCAGCAGCGGATCGAACCGTGACCGATGACGACGGACGGTCTTCTTTTTCTTCTCTCGTCCGGCTGATGTCGATGCAGAGCCACGACTCCAATTTCGCATTCAGGTGGTCAAGCCAGATAACCGCGTGAGGAGCAGCGGAGATGTATCGCTAGCGATGGCTCCTTCGTGTTTGTGGATCGGGCGTTGCGTCGTTATACGTTGTTCCGGGCTGTCCTGAATGACTGCGGTCGCACACGACTCCTGGGGGGGTTTTTTTCAACGGTTTTACTTAACTTGATTCCTCTGTTTGTCGTGGTCAAATCGTGTAATCAAAATTTCGTCCACTTCCCGTTGTCCAAAAAATTCCACATTTTGCACACGTACTCAGATCCGGTGACAATGCATGCCTGTATCAAAATCGGCATCAATTAATCAGTGAATTCCCTACTTTTTGTATGGACGCCTTATTATTTATATATTTGTATAGGGTAAAAACGCCGCGGTCCCTAAACTGTGGAATCGGCTCGCACAAGAAGCAGGCGCCGCGTGTCTCAGGCGCCAATGACGTACTTGTCAACCGCGAGTTAAACGAAGTTGTTAATAAAACCGTTGTTTTAAAATAAAACTTTTTCTAAGGAGTTTATAAAATTTTCCATGTCTGCATCAGGTATGCGCATCGGCCGCCAGGGTTTGTGCAGTGGACGCGGTTTATGGTAGATCACGAGCTTCGTTGAAGATCAAACCCCAGGGATTTCCTCCAGTGGAGCTGAGACATCCACTCCGGATCCTCATCCAGTCTTCTCATCCCGTGTGACAAATTCATCAAACATAATGAGATCGTTGCGTGCTACAAGCTATTCAATATACGACGTTTCAAAATTACGAATGAAGCTCCAGGAACGCATCAGCTTTATATGTCGAGGTATTATTACTGCATTGTTGGTTTTCTCCACAATTTTGGCTGTCCGCCTGATGAGGCTGGTTGTAATTACCGGCGAAGCGTCGTACTCGACTTGTAAACGCTGTGGGTTTACTCTAAAACACACACAACCGGTTTGCTGAACTAGCAACGAATTGGCATGTTTAGTTTACTGACGACCCATTTATATTTACGTGATCTAACCCAAAAAAAAATCTCTGTAAGGGATAATATGGGTCGCAAAAGCTCGCATTGCTTGGACGGTTCTGCGGCCGTCTGGAACGCTCTTCCTTCCTATGTTAGGAAGCCGCTGGAGCTACGCACTTTTCAATCATCTAGATTGAAAACGAATTTCTTTCGAACTGATTTTTGTGTTTAGTTTGTTGCCCTTCCCCCGCACCTCCGATAAGCACGGCTGGCTACGTACGGTGCGAAAGAAGTTCAGCACGCATATATAGACACAAGGGTGCTCTTGCCGATGACATTTAGCAATCCAGCTGAATTTACGTGACAGGCCTCACTCTGCAGATGAGACTCAAACGGTTGAAACCGAAGCGACTATTATTCATTAACTCCAGCTCCCCACTGTTCCCCTCAATCTCAATAAGTAAGTAATTGTTGTTTTTTTTTCTTTACAAATTATCAAAAGTAGACGTGAAGCCAGCACATCTGGCCTACTCTTCCATGAAACGAATATTAACTACACGCAGCTACCTTTAGCACCCAGTGAATCGCAGCTGACAACACCTGCGCAGTATTAACCGGGGCGGCCCTGGTGGGTTCGAACCGTGAACTTCAGCAACGAGGATATTTGACTATTTAAAATAGATATTTTAAATTTATTTTACCAAGTAAGACCCACTGAGCTATGCAGCCCTTTTTCAGAAGCGACTTGGCCACAAATGATAGCCCAACGAAGTGGCTTATCATGTGGAAATGTATAGCAGCCGAATACTCTGAACGCACGATGTTGATTCTAAATGTGGAGGGGAAAAAACACAGAGGACCCTGAGAAATATCCACGCGACCATGGGGAAAGTGAGAGAGAGAGAGACAGACGACATGCAAATACACAACAGGCCCCAGAATCGGAATACGTATTTATACTCTAGGAGGAATCCGATGAGCTATAAAGCTCTTTTATCAACAGATGTCCAGTCTGGGCACGGGGTAAGAACGTTACAACGACAGTGATAGGGTTCGAACCCCACGGACCTCCCTGCATACCAGCAGAGTGAGAGACAACCCATCTTGCCACGCGGCGACGCAGTGCGGCACTTACTTCATGCCCTTCTTGATGGCGTCCGTGGGCAGGCACGAGTATGAGTCGAGGCAGTCGGCCGGGCGGAACTGCTTGTTGTCGATGAACCAGCCCGAGTCGGCGAGTCCGCGCATCTGGGCCGGCGAGCCGAGCGCCTCGAGCTGCTCGGCCACGCGGTCGGCGTTCAGCAGCACCCCGGTGCCGCCCGCGCTGGGCACGGGGAGCGGCGCGTTCACGGCGGCGGCGGTGGCGTCAACAACGACGGTAGCAACGACGATGACAACAACAACAACGATGATGATGACAACAACAAAGATAACAACGATAACAGCAACGACGATAACAACGACGATAACGACAACAACGATAACAACAACGACGATAACAACAACGATAACAACAACGACGATAACAACAACGACGACAACGATAACAACAACGACGATAACAACAACGACGACAACGATAACAACAACGACGATAACAACAACAACGACGACAACGACGATAACAACAACGACGATAACAACGATAACAACAACGATAACAACAACGACGATAACAACAACAACGACGACAACGGCGATAACAACAACGACGATAACAACAACGACAACAAGAACGATAACAACAACGACGATAACAACAACGACGACAACGATAACAACAACGACGATAACGACAACAACGATAACAACAACGATAACAACAACGATAACAACAACGACGACAACGACGATAACAACAACGACAACAACAACGATAACAACAACGATAACAACAACAACGATAACAACAACAACGATAACAACAACAACGATAACAACGACAACAATGACAACAACAACGATAACAACAACGATAACAACAACAATAACGATAACAATAACGTTAACAACAACGATAACAACAACAACGATAACAACGGCGATAACAGCAACGACGATAACAACAACGATAACAACGACAACAACAACGATAACAACAACAACAACGATAACAACAACGGCGATAACAACAATAACAACAACGACAACAACAACGATAACAACAACGACGATAACGACAACAACGATAACAACAACGATAACAACAACGATAACAACAACGACGATAACAACAACGACGACAACGACGATAACGACAACAACGATAACAACAACGACGATAACAACAACAACGACGATAACAACAACGATAACAACAACGATAACAACAACGACGATAACAACAACAACAACGATAACAACAACGACGACAACGACGATAACAACAACGACGATAACAACAACGACAACAACAACGATAACAACAACGATAACAACAACAACGATAACAACAACAACGATAACAACGACAACAATGGCAACAACAACGATAACAACAACGATAACAACAACAATAACGATAACAATAACGTTAACAACAACGATAACAACAGCAACGATAACAACGGCGATAACAGCAACGACGATAACAACAACGATAACAACGACAACAACAACGATAACAACAACGATAACAACAACGGCGATAACAACAATAACAACAACAACGATAACAACAACGATAACAACGATAACAACAATGATAACAACAACGATAACAACGACAACAACGATAACAACAACGGCGATAACAACAATGATAACAACAACGATAACAACAACAACGATAACAACGGCGATAACAGCAACGACGATAACAACAACGATAACAACGACAACAACAACGATAACAACAACGATAACAACAACGGCGATAACAACAATAACAACAACAACGATAACAACAACGATAACAACGATAACAACAACGATAACAACAACGATAACAACAACGATAACAACGACAACAACGATAACAACAACGGCGATAACAACAACAACAACAACGATAACAACAATGATAACAACAACGATAAAAACAACAACGATAACAACGACAACAACGATAACAACGATAACAACAACGATAACAACAACGATAACAACGATAACAACAACGGCGACAACAACAACAACGACAACAACAACGATAACAACATTTTATAACAACGACGATAACGACAACAACGATAACAACAACGGCGATAACAACAACAACGATAACGACAACAACGATAACAACAACAACGATAACAACAACGACGATAACAACAACGATAACAACAACGATAACAGCGACGATAACAACAACGATAACAATGACGACAACAATGACAACAACAACGACGATGGCAACGATGATGACGACAACAACAATAACAACAGCGACGATGACAACAACGACAGCAAAAACAATTATGACAACGATGATGACAACAACGATGATGACAACAACGACGACGACGACAATCAACATCGATCACAATCTTTATTTAGACGGGAGAAAACCCGATGAGCTATGAAGCTCTTTGTCACACGTGTCCAGCGGGACACCGCTTGTGTTGCCGTTGGAGAGCGATTCACGCGCAACCTTTCACGACGGGGATTTGGAGCGGTGTGGGTGAGTGGGGTGGGTGGGGTGGGGTGAGTGGGGTGGGTGGGGTGGGTGAGTGGGATGGGTGGGGTCGGTGAGTGGGATGGGTGAGGTGGGTGGGATAGGTGAGTGGGGTGAGTGGGGTGGGTGGGGTAGGTGAGTGGGTGGGGTAGGTGAGAGGGGTGGGTGGGGTGGGGTGAGTGGGATGGCTGGGGTAGGTGAGTGGGGTGGGTGGGATTGCTGAGGTAGGTGAGTGGGGTGGGTAGGGTGGGGTGGGTGAGTGGGGTGGGTGGGGTGGGGTGAGTGGGGTGGGGTGGGTGGGATAGGTGAGTGGGATGGGTGGGGTGGGGTGAGTGGGGTGGGTGGGGTGGGTGGGATAGGTGAGTGGGGTGGGTGGGGTAGGTGAGTGGGATGGGTGGGGTAGGTGAGTGAGGTGAGTGGGGTGGGTAGGGTGGGTGAGTGGGGTGGATGGGGTGGGGTGAGTAGAGTGGGTGAGTGGGTGGGTGGGGTGGGTAGGGTGAGTGAGTGGGTGAGTGGGTGGGGTGGGTGGGTGGGTGAGTGGGTGTCTCCCCCCCCCCCCCCGCTTCCCTTCCCCATATACTTTCCCCGCATATATTTGTAAAGTTTTAGTTTAGTCTCATGAGGAATGAAGGGGGGGGGGGGTGGTTGGCGGGGGGCTATTGACCCCCCCCATTGACCCCCCATCGACCCCCCCCCCATTGACCTCTCGGGATCCGAGCCTGGTGTCTGCTGTCTGTGTCACCTCGTCCCGGCGAGCATCAAGAGCTTGGCCTGGTCCACGCCCTTGGGGATGAGGTCCCTGATGACCTGCTGCAGGATCAGCGCTCCCATGAACGCGTAACCGTCTAGGAGGGGGGCACGCGCGAGGCCACACACAGACACAAACGCACACACAGACACAAACGCACACACAGACACACACGCACGCACACACAGACACACACGCACACACAGACACACGCACACAAACACACACAGACCCACACACGCACACACAGACACACAGACGCACACGCACGCACACACATACACACACACAGACACACACGCACAGACACACACGCACGCACAGACACACACACACAGACACGCACGCACACACACACACGCGCGCACATAAGACAAAGATCCCCCATGTAGTCTGTAACAGGCTGATGAGATCAATGATATGCTTTATTTTACCCGTTTCCGTCCAAAATACAGCAGGCGGTAAGATGTTCAAACGATGAATAAGGCACGCGTATCGCAAGGCATCAAGTCTGCATATCACGCTTGTAGTAAAACACATGCACGCACAAAGAAGACAAAGATCCCCCTTCCATAGCCTCAACAGACTGTTGGGGCAAGTGCTGTTAGCGAATAGCAGCACCTATGAAGAAGGTCCGGCGCTGTGGCACACGAGGGGGTGGGTGGTCAGCACCACAAAGACAAAGATTCCCATTATAGCCTCAACAGACTGTTGGGGCAAGTGCTGTTTGCGAGTAGCAGCACCTATGAAGAAGGTCCGGCGCTGTGGCACACGAGGGGGTGGGTGGTCAGCACCACAAAGACAAAGATCCCCCATCCATAGCCTCAACAGACTGTTGGGGCAAGTGCTGTTAGCGAGTAGCAGCACCTATGAAGAAGGTCCGGCGCTGTGGCACACGAGGGGGTGGGTGGTCAGCACCACAAAGACAAAGATTCCCATTATAGCCTCAACAGACTGTTGGTGCAAGTGCTGTTAGCGAGTAGCAGTACCTATGAAGAAGGTCCGGCGCTGTGGCACACGAGGGGGTGGGTGGTCAGCACCACAAAGACAAAGATCCCCATTATAGCCTCAACAGACTGTTGGGGCAAGTGCTGTTAGCGAATAGCAGCACCTATGAAGAAGGTCCGGCGCTGTGGCACACGAGGGGGTGGGTGGGGAGCAGCCAAAGAGTCGCACGTGGCTCCAGAGCAGCAGGTTTGGAGCCGCACGCTGCCCTGGGGTCAATAGGAGCAGGGGCATGTTACCTTTGCCGGTCTTGGTGGAGGTGCCGCTCCACACATCGCTGGAGCAGTAGGGGATGTACCTGTGTCACCACACACAGCAGTGCCACTTTAACAATACTCTGACTACTACTACTACAACTATGTCTTTTTGTATTTTACCAGGTGTAAGGGCGCGCCGAGCCGCATAGATTTGTTTTTCTTCAGAAGCGACCCCCTCGGCCTTCACGAATGACAGCTCAACCAAGTGGCTGATATCGTCACCGCGTGGACACTTATAGCAGCAGCAGCAAAATACTCTTAGACGTGTAAAATGGATTCTAAACGTGGAGGGGGGAAGGGGAAACCGGAGGACCCGGAGTAAAAATCCACGCGACCACGGGGAGCGAGAGAGGGAGAGAGAGAACGCGCGAACTCCAAATATATACACACAGGGGGTCAGGGTCGGGATCGAACCCACGACTTCGTGCAATACCTGGCGAGGTATTCGACATCTCGCCACGTCTGGCAAGCTAAGCGTCGGGGCCCGCACTATGAGACCTTAGCGCTGACCTACAATGCACTCGATGGGTTCGGCCCCCAACAATGACAGGAGCCGCGCCTTGTTGACTCTCCAACGAGGCGCCGCAGATCTTCGGGATCGCCTTCTTCGAAGCGCTCCGAGCTCAAGGCCTCCCGTTCCTGGGGGTGATCGCGATTTTGTCCGCGCTGTGCAGCCACCAGACTATGGAACGACGCTTTGCCCTTGCTGATAAGACAATCAGAGTCGTTCGATGTATATATTGAAGCCACGACTTGAAAACTCTCTTCTTTAAATTGGTCTTTAAAACCCCCCTCCCCTGCCTAGTTCTGATGGTTTACCCTGTGTAGGTTCTGTTGATTTCCTGGCTTTCCATACAACGGTGGTTGCGCAGTTGTGAGATCTACGGATTTCAATGCGCCACTCTACAAACGTAAATTATTATTATCATGATATCATGGCCAGTGCTTGGCAAGCAAAATAATAACTGGAGCGGTTTTTTTTTGTTCGAATTCGGTACAACAACCCCCCCGTCCATATTTCAAGAGCCGCAATGCATCACGTGGGGAAGGAATTGAGAGAACGAAAAAAACGTGGAGACGGAGCAGTTCTCGTGCAGGAGAGAGGCGGATTGTGGAGCCCCTGGGGGACCGCGCGGGATGGTTGATGCTGTGGGTGAGGCGTTCATCTAGCAGTGGATAGCACATAGCCCATGGTGATCGTGATGGAGGTGGTGTTGTTGTTGATGATGTGTGTTTGTCGAACTGTTTTATGCACCGCACGTAGCTTTTGGGTCGATGATGGCCGTGATGTGGGAGTTGATGTTGGTGATGCTAGATTTGATGATGGCTGCGATGTTGGTGATGTTGGGGTTGATGTTGGTGTTAGTGATGCTGGTCGTGAGGTTGGGGTTGATGATGTTGGGGTTGATGATGATCGTGATGTGGGAGTTGATGTTGGTGATGTTTATCGTGATGTTGGGGTTGATGTTGGGGTTGATGTTGCTGTGATATCACTTACACGGAGTTGGCGTTCCACCAGTGGGGGTTCTCCTCCGGCGAGGACGACAGAATCCCTTGTCCTGCGGGAGGGAGAGACGACGACACAGCTCTCGCACCACCACTCAACTGCACCACCACTCACCAGCGCTACCACTCACCTGCAGCACCACTCACCCGCACCACCACTCACCCGCACCACCACTCACCAGCGCTACCACACACACCACCACTCACCTGCACCACCACTCACCTGCACCACCACTCATCTGCACCACCACTCACCTGCGCCACCACTCACTTGCACTACCACTCATATGTGCCCACCCCTCTCTGACCCGAGTCATCCCGTGCTCACCTGCGTGACCCCGTGCTCACCTGCGTGACCCCATGCTCACCTGTGCGACTCTGAGGCCAGTCCGCAGAGCCCATGAGTCTCCGCATTGTGCTGTACCGCGCGTCACAGCTCTCCTTGCTGAAGCAACACCAGCCTCCTAGTCCCGGGCATCAGCAGCAGCAACAGCAGCAGCAGCAACAGCAGCAGCAGTAACGACAGCAGCAATAGCAGCAGCAGTAACAACAGCAGCAGTAACAGCAGCAGCAGCAGTAACGACAGCAGCAATAACAGCGGCAGTAACAGTAGCAATAACAGCAGCAGTAACAACAGCAGCAGTAACAGCAGCAGCAGCAGCAGTAACGACAGCAGCAATAACAGCGGCAATAACAGTAGCAATAGCAGCAGCAGAAACAGCAGCAGCAATAGAAGCAACAGCAACAATAGCAGCAGCAGTAACGACAGCAGCAGCAGCAGCAGCAAAAGAAGCCGTTATAGCAGAAGCAGCAGCAACAAGGAACAGCAGCAGCAGGAGGAGCAGCAGCAGAACACACGGCGTGATATTAGTGGGTGTGTGTTGGTGTGGTCGTTGTTACTGTGTCTGTGTGGTTGTGGGGAGCGGTAGTGTAGCGGGTAACGGGTTGCACTACAACCCCGGAGACCCGAGTTCTATTTAGCGGGGATCGAACACACAGCGACGTTTTATTTGAAGCGGTACCGTGCCTCCCCTAGGTCGACTGAGCTTCAAATTAGTAGCTAATGTGGTGTGTAAACGTCATAACTTGGGAAACAAAGGCGGACGGGCGTGGTGTTGGCCACCCACCGCTTCGTGTGCCATGCCGACCTTCAGAAGTGCTCGCTAACAGCAGCACTTGCCCAAACAGTCCAGTTGGGGTTCTACGGGGCATCTTTGTCTTTGTGGGGAGTGGTGGGATGGCGGTTAGCGACGCTGAGCTACGGACCCGGAGACCCGAGTTCTATTTAGCGGGAATCGAACACCCGGTGAGGGTTTTTTTTAAAAAAACAATCTCAACCGGTGCATGCGCTCACGATTGCGCTACCAACTCTACAGCTCCCCCCCCCCCCCCCCCCCCCCATTATGCAGTATTTTATTCACTCTGTATTCCTAGAGAGAATGACCGTAAGAGAGCGCGCGAACCTTCGAGGAAGATGAGCCACCGCTTGCTTCCTTTCGACTCCCGCAGGTAATACCTGTGACGGGGGGGGGAGGTAGGAGGAGATGACGAGGTGAGCCGGCTTGGCGGAGTCTGCACGCACTCGTCACCACCCCGATCGCCACGCCACTCCGCGCCGCATCACGTTACGCACGCACGTTAGGTACGCACGCACGTTACGCGCGCACGTTACGCGCGCACGTTACGCACGCACGTTACGCGCGCACGTAGAACTTCACCTCTTCGCCACCGTGCACGGAGCCAACCGCGAAAATCGGAGGTGCGTGGTGGAGTGCCGATTTTGGAACCCAACGTTACGCGTCACCCGGCGTTAGGCCACACCACCCAGAGCCACGCCACACCACGCCAGGTCACAACACGTCTAAACATTTCGAGGGAAGGCGGGGGGTGGGGGAGAGGACGGGGGGGAGGGGGGATTCCTGCCCTTTTCATTCCATACCCAGGTTCATCTCCGAGCCTGGGCTGTTACTCTATAGTACGTGTCCTCGGATGCGGGACTCCCTGGAGAACACCACGTGGGTTATGGACCAGGAGATGTCAGAGGTACAGCAATGGAATTCTTTGGAATCCATCCGTGTGGAGCTGGTTTGAGTATTCAACTCATGGTGTACGCGTGGTGGGTTTTCCCGGTGGAGGGGGGGGGGTCCTCTGATTTCCTCGAACGCGAAGCCAAAATCTCATCAACACTTGGAATGGGATTGGTCAAACATCAATGTAACATCACCTTCCTGAAAGAAGTGTCTTGAGACCAGTGACAGGGACTGGGACTCAAAATCGGCCCAGGCATTCGTAAACACACCGGCCCAAATTCGGGCTATGGAGAATTATTTACTTTGAATATATTTTTTTAATGGTTGTTGTGCGACAAACTGTGTCATTACTCGTCACTAGATGTTGCGACGAGACGAAGGAGGAGCGTGACTTTGCCGAGAGATCCTCATTGGCCCATTATTTTGGGCTGGGCCCAAACAACAAATGGGCCCGGGGTGAGGAAGACTAATCTTTGGGGATGCAAAATATGTTGGGGACCTAATGCCCTGTAGGCCAGTCCGAGCCTGCTTGAGACTTGGCGATGCTTTCTTTGGCAAATGTAAGGATTTTTTTATTTGTTATTCACCAATCCATTTGCCACCAGGCCAGGACGCATCACTGATACGACTCAATAACTCCGCTGGCAAATAAACACACCGCTACGTAGAGGAGTCAACGGTGGTTGTCCTCTGGATGAACAGAATCAGAATATTTATTTAGACTGGGAGGAATCCGATGAGCTTTGAAGCTCCTTTTCGCAGATGTCGAGTGAGCGCGGGGTCAGAACGTTAAAACAACAAATAGGTGTGCAAAGCATCGGAAAATAACTCAAAAGAAAGAGTTAATAATGAAATATGTAAGTACAATTTGCAAATTTTTTTATCAATTCCTGCCGGTGTTTCAACAATCAATGCAAGATTGGGCAAGCCAGCAAAAAACAACAACAGTCCCAGACCACCTCAAGACAACAACAACAACACCGCCCCGCCATAGGAATGTGGAATTTCTACCGCTCGGCGCAGGGCTGTAAAAACGGGAGAGTGAAAACCACATTTGGCAACTTGACCTGGTGACACGGCACGCGCGCACCGACACGACACGCGCAGTCACAAGGTCACTGGCGTCGAAGCCATAGCTGGGAGCTATGGCAACTTTGAAATCATCGTTTGGATTGACAAACTTAAGAACTGTGTTTAGTTTTGTTGTCACCCCCCCCGCACCACCACCACCCCCACCCGCCCCGCTGCACCGTTCGGGGCACGTTATCGGACGTCTCATCGTCACCCAATTACCGAGGTCGCTTCAGACGTCACGGCACCACTTCACGCTACGCAATGCCACACAAATACAAAGATCCCCACGTATCGCCTTTAACAGACTTGTGGGGCACGTGGTGTTAGCTGGTGGGACGCCGGGTTCGTAGCGCAGTGCGCTAACCACTGCGCCACCGCTCCCCATCCCACACACACGCCAGGCACAACGCACACACACACCGCTATACTACACTCTCCACACCATACCACACTGAAACCACGGCCTAGACCACGCCACACCACATTACGACACGCCACCCACCACACGGCGCTCAACTACACCACACACGAAGACAAAGATCCCCCATGTAGCCTTAACAGACTGTCGGGGCAAGTGCTGTTAGCGATCACCTATGAAGGCCGGAGCGAAGGGTGGCTAGCACCACGCCCGACCGCCTTTGTCTCCCTAGTGGCAATGTTTACACACCGCACCAGGTACTCATTTGAGGCTGAGTCGACCTAGGGGATGCCCGGGACCGGTTCAGATAATCGTCACTGGTGTTGGCCGTGAGCGGGAATCGAACTCGGGTCGCCAGGTTCATAGCGCAGCGCGCTAATTGCTACACTGCCGCTCCCCACTACCGCACAAACACTTATATACACACATATACACACCACATAACAAACACCGCGACACTCTGCACCCCACCACGCCACTCAGAGTTACACCACGCACAGACTAAATATCACCACCACGCGGCACATCACGAGGAATTCACCAAACCCACACAAATACCAAACCACACCACGCCGCCACTCCATTTCACACTGTGCCACGTGCCAAGATACATTACCCATTACACCAGCACCACCACCAACCAGCACCACCACCAACCAGCACCACCACCAACCAGCACCACCACCAACCAGCACCACCACCGCAACGACGACGACTACGACGACACACCGAGGGGATGCCCCGGCAAACAACGCATCGTGCCAGCCCGATTGTACACGACACACCACCACCACCAGCACACCGCAGCATCATCAGCAGCGAGCCATTCCCACGCACCACACCACGACAGCCGGACCTCGCTAGACACCTCACCACACGTACTGTTCACGCCACCCCCCTCTCTCCTCCCACCCCATAACTCGAGCACACAGCAGCCTGCACCGCCGACCACACCGTGCAAACTAACGCCGCACACGACGCCACATGGCACCGTGATGACATCGGCAGATATCATACCCCACCCCCTCAATATATACGCGCCACGCCACTCGCGCAACTTTCAACACAGTTTTCAGTTTTTTTTATTTTGGTATAGCCCTGTGAGCCATTCGGCTCTTGAATCGGGTGCAATCACAACAAACAAAAAAAACACCTCCACACCACGCCATACACCACACCATTAGGACCTCACTGGACATCACCCCACGTGATTCCGACTCCACACACCACCGCCACGCCACCGGGACCTCACTGGACCTCACGACCACATGATTCCGACTCTGCTCGCCACACACCACCACGCACCCGGCCGGCGTGCCGTCGTTACAGGTCACCGAGTCGTTGGAGATGAGGTGCAGCTTCATGTCATCGCTCGCCTGCGCCGAGCACGAGTAGAGCGACTGCGCCAGGTTCTTGATCTGGCTCATGAAGGTCTCCACGTTGCCCTCCACGGCCGTGAAGTCCAGCGTGAAGCTCTCCTCCCGTTCGGAGCCTGCTGGAGCTGCCGCCGCCACCGCTGCTGCCGGAGCTGCTGCTGGAGGTGAGGGTTGATGTTGAGAAGGCTGAGCAGCGACCAACAGCGACTCGACAGAACCTATCCCCTGCTGTTGCTGCTGCTGTTGCTGCTGCAGCGTTCCAGATCCTCGCCTGTTCTGGAAGTTGCTGCTGCTGCTGCTACTGCCGGGACCTTTGCTGGTTCGAACCAGACGCCGGTTCTGTCCCACGGACGGGCGAGTCAGCACCAGCAGCAGCAGCACCAAGGATGGAAAACAGCGGCTCCACATTGCGACGGCCGCGGCGATGAGATTGTTTATGAAAGGGGAGCTGGAAGCACTCGGAGATCGGGGGAGACGGTGAGAGAGAGAGAGAGATGTTGGATGGAGAGATGATCGGTGACTTGATGAGCGAGATGGATAATAAGTTGAGTTAGTCGACTGAAAGAGATGATGAGCAGCGAGATAGAGGAAGACGGTGAGAGTTGGTGAGGTGGTGAGAGAATTGATGGGGGAGGTTGGGGGAGGAGGCGGAGAGATGGAAAGACAATGAGTGGTGCTGGTGAATTTGGACGACCGTTGAAAGAGTCGCTGAGAGTGTTTGGGGGGGGGGGGGGGGGGGGGGGTTGTAGAGCTGGTAAGAGGGTTGACGAGTGAAAGTGGAGACGTGGATGGTGAGAGAGAGGGAGAGGTGGAGATAGAGAGAGCCGGTGGAAGGGTCTTAACAGCGAGATGAACACCGCTAGATCGCGATAGCGTGGTGCAGGGGCACGGGGAGAGTCCGGCAGCGGACACAGGAGGAGTCTCAGAGATGGTAGGGCCGTCGAAAGCGATTGGGAGTTGGGCGCTGGAGAGCGAATCTGACGGGCGTATCGAGCGAGCGGAGAGCTTGAGAGCGAGAGTCCGAAAGCACCCGGGGGCGACTTGGAGAGAAGCGGGGAGCTTCGACAGAGCGAGCTCAGAGAGTGACTGATCCTTGCGCGCTCCTCACACACATCTTAAATAATTCCCCGACCCCCCTTTCGGGGGCTACCCCTCTCTCTCTCCCTCTCCCTACTCTCTCTCTCCCCTCTCCAAATAACTCTCCCCCCCACCCCACCCACCTCATCCTGCCGCTCTCCTCTCTCTCCCTGCCACTCTCTCTTTCTGAATCTCTCTCCCACCCCCTTTCGCTCCCTCTCTCCTTCCACTCAACAACACCACTCCCCTCTCTCCCTCGATCTCCGTCCCTCCTACCACCCCCCACACTCTTCTTTATCTCTCGCTCTGGAGCCCGTTCACATCAAAGCATTGAGCGCTTCATTGTCACAGCCTGAAGCTCATTGGTGCGGGAATTGAGAGTCGGGGTGGGAGGTGATGTGGTGGAGCTGTAGGGTGGAGAGGGGTGGCGGAGTGTGGTGGGGACCGGTTGGTGGTGGTTGTGGTAGCGCCGGTGTTGTGTATTGTAGTGTAGTTGGTGTGGTGCATCGTGGTTGGTGCGATGAGGCGGTGTATTCTGGTGCGATGCCGATGCGTCCGGTATGATGGGGCTTCAGATGTGCTTTCCGCGGCCGTCTGGAAGGCTCTTCCGATTTTAGGAAGCTGCTGGAGCGAATGCACTTTTAAATCATATAGGTTGAAAACTAATTTCTTTAGAGCTGCTTTTTGTTGTCCTTCCCCCGCACCTCCGATTAGCACGGGTGGCTACGTACGGTGCGAACGAAGTTCAACATACACATACACGGTGTGATTTGAGTCGTGTGCATGCTGCAACATACTGAGTGGGTGTCGACATTATGTCCAAATGTAAAGCGTAAAAGTTTAGACCTAAATTAAATAAATCTACTCCCCTCCCCCCACCCTCCGATTTATCTCGTAATATGTTGTGCATGGGTATATAAGTCCATCACCTTATTGGTCCTTCAGACCAATGTTACGGTACATCGACAGTTGCTGTCGAATGCATGTTGTGTAGAATGCACAACAGTGGAAAGTTTGCCGTTGACAGTTCATCTCTCCATACTTCTTGAGCGCACTCTCCAGCTTTCTCGTTCAATTTGTTTTGCTAACGAGCACGCGTCTGTGAATATATCTGGCAGCAGCTGGCTGCGCACCCATAGTACGCGTCTCCCTTTGAGCTAATTGGCGCCTTGCTTCATTCATTACGTTCAGCCAGTGCCGGATTATCCCAGGAGCAAAAGTAGCAAATGCTACGGGGCTCCGCACTTTCAAGGCCCCCCGCGCGAAACGCTTTCAAGCTATCAATTCAGGTTCAGTGATTCTGCACTTGCTCTATTACTGTAGTACTATACCGTCTTCAACTTTTACGAACGGCTGGGGTGTTTAAGGTTACCGATTTGTCGTATTATCTGGCTGTATAGCAAATGAAAAAAATACAATGACTTCACTATGCAAGTAACAAAAAAATGTGTGTTTTAATATGTATGTTTTAATTTTATTTAGGGCCCCTTTATAAGAACGCGTGCTACCGGCCCGCACTAGCTTAATCCGGCACTGCGTTCAGCCTCAGCTTTGCAATCGCAATCCAACTTTCACGAGTCAGCCTGTACATTTCTTCTGTTTGCGTCCCGTCCGCCCGCCTATTCTGCTGTGTGATTTACCAGTTGCGTCCCTCCGACAGATACAGTGTGTCTCCAAAGTATTTGGCAGCGCTGTTGTAAACTACCGTTTACTCCCCTGTTTTTAAGACCGAAAATAGGAGGACTTCTTTACAAATCTGGCTGTCGCCTGATGAAGGTGGTTGTTGTAATCACCAGCTGAAAGTCGTACTCGAATTGTAAATGCTGTGGGTTTACTCTCCAACACACCGCTGTGCTGAAATAGTAACTAATTAGCACGTTTTGTTTACGTGACGAACCTTATTAATTGGCCGTGTTGGGTGGTGGCAGGTTTCACGACACTTTTACATTGACGTAATGTAACCCCCCCCAAAAAACACCCTGCTATTATGGATAATATTTGTCGTGAAAGCCTACTACTTGTTAAACAAACTACCTTGGGTGTGCTAAACAATGTATTTGGTGATATTGCCTTGGCAGGTGCAGGTGCACGAGCACAAATAACAAAACACACCTCAACATCTTCGTCATTAACACTGCCTGTTGAGGAGGAGAATAAGTGTTTCAGGCAATGGCCACACACTACATATGCCACGTAGGTAGAGTGGATGACACTTCTCAGATCTCTTAGCTTTCTGGCCTCTCTATGCGCTGTGCAGAAGGGCCATTGCACAAAACGTCACCTATTTTTATTTTTTATCATGCAAGAACCACTGAGCTATGTAGCTCTTTTTCAGAAGTGAGAACTGGAACCCAAATGATAGCTCAACGAAGTGGCTTATATCAAGTAGAAATGTGCAGCAGCCAAATACTCTAAACACGTGATGTTGATTCTACATGTGGAGGGGGAAAACCGGAGGACACGGAGAAAAATCCATGCGACCACGAGGAGAGAGACACGAAAACTCCAAATTTAAAGCGGGCGTCAGGGTCGGGATCTGACCCACGACCTCCTGTATACCAGGCGAGGTAGTTAACATCTAATACCTAAATAATGGTGCAACTTTGTTTTAACATTATTTATTAATACTTAACTTATATTCTTGGTTCTTTCGGTAAAGTCACGTAGAAGGGAAACAGTAAAATAATAAAAATATAAAAGGATAAAATTCTCACGAAGTTTCGACTGCAACACAAGCAATCATCATCAGGTGTTTCTGTTGCAGTCGAAACGTCGTGAGAATTGTATTCTTTTATATTTTTATTATTTATTGTTTCCCTTCTACGTGACTTTACCGAAAGAACCAAGAATATGAATCCCTGCAGTCACGAAAGCTTTAAATCAAAATGTAATACTTAACTTAGTTTAACATTATTTATTAATACTTATTCATGAGATTCGAAGCTTTCGTGACTACAGGAATTACTCTTTGGTTCTTTCGGTAAAGTCACGTAGGAATAAAAATAATTAAATAATACAATACGACGTTTCGATTACAACACAAGCAACCATCATCAGGTACGAATGAGTGAGAAAACAAACCTAGCAAACTTAGAAATATAATGCAATACAACCCAGAGAGTCGGCTAACACAACAGTCAACATCCTACCTGGTTTTGATTTAAAGCTTTCGTGACTGCAGGGATTCATATTGTTGGTTCTTTCAGTTTCCCTTCTACGTGACTTTACCGAAAGAACCAAGAATATAATATCCTACCTGGTTGATTAACGGTCTTCCAAAGAATGCTAAATTTGAGAGAGAGACAAAACACAGACACGGAGACACACAGACACGTGTTCTATCTCTACTTGTGTGTCTGTCTGTCTCATTAATAATAGTAAAACTTTTGTGACCATTATTTAATCCGAGCCCAACTTGTCAGCCTGGTACATGGACTCATTCTAACTGTTGCACGCAGTTCGTTCCCATTCGGACGTTATAATGCCTCTGGCCTTTAACAAATGTCAGATGCTTCATCGTGATCGAGATGGCTGAGGTCCCCCACTTTGAAGGGGAATCAGATAGGGTGACACGCTTTAGCCAAAGATATTCGCAGATACGTTATAAATACTTTCGTCAAATCCTATTGGAGAAAACAAATGGAGAAAAACACCAATCCCTTAAGTCTGAAGACTCGAATCTCCTAATAACCCCTGCGGTGGTGGTGGCGTTTCGGGGGGGGGGGGGCTGAGTAGAATTGATTTACTCGGCCCCCCTCTGTTCAATTTATAAACTCCAAGTGAAATGGCAAAGCTTGGGTGGAGAAGACAAAAATAGAGATAATGAGATGACTCGAGAGATGGAGACGACAGAGATATATTGAGATGAGATGTATGACGAGAGAAAAAAAACTACCGGACGTCTGTAAAAAAAGAGCTTTATAGCTCATCGGATTCCTGCAGTAAAAAAAATTCAAAACAAATATTCCAATGAGATAGAGATGCATGAATGAGAGGCGAGCTATGCGGATTGAATAGAGACTGAGGGAGATGACGCGAACAAGGCAATGGAGCTATGCACTTTAAAATAATCTACATTGAAGACTCATTTATTTAGAGCTAATTTTTGTGTTTAGTTTGCTGTCCTTCCCCCGCACCTACGAGTCGCACGGTTGGCTACGTACGGTGCGAAAGAAGTTCAATATACAGTACATACATATAGGAAATGTAGTTATATCTAGAACACGTTGCAGAAACACGAATACAGATGTTCTCAGTGAATCTCACGCTCCCCCCCCCCTCCTTGAGCTACTTGGGACCGCGCGCTTTTGCGTTTGCTAACCATCTCAAATATTATTATTATTAGACGCGCGCTCGTGCAATCTTTTAAAACTACGAAGGTTGTGGACGAGATTGGAGGGTGCGCCTTATAATCCGAGAGGGGTGGAGGTGTGCGGACAGTAGTTATGCGTGCTGCTTTCCACAGATGGAAGTCCCGGAGAGCCCTTTTGGACCACATGCGCTTAACCTGCAACCGTGCAAGTTCAACCCCCATTGAAGCTTCGAGACAAAACACGCGTTTAGACTATTTAGATTATTTTGCTGCTTTAAATGTCCCGAATGATGAGGCCACTTTGTTGGGCTATGATTTGTGGCCAGGTCGCTTTTGAAAAATAAGTTAATCCCTTAGTGGGCTTTGTCTGGTAGGGATGGTTTCGTTTAATTTCTATGTGTTTGGGTGATCTGTTTACCTTTATTGTACTTTGCACTCCTATAATGTTTTTTGTTTGTTTGTTGTAACCTTCTTAACCCGTGCCCCGACTGAACATCTGTGAAAAATGGCTTTATAGCTCATCGGATTCCTCCAGTGGTGGTGGGGGGGGGGAGGAGCTTGGTGGTGGGGGCGGAGCTTGGTGGGGGGGGGGGGGCTTGGTGGGGGGGGGGCTTGGTGGGGGGGGAGGAGCTTGCGCTTGGTGGGGGGGAGAGCTTAGTGGGGGGGGGGGAGCTTGGTGGGGGGGGGGACTTGGGGGGGGTGGGCTTGG